CCGCTACTACTGCAAACAAAAAAATGACTACTATTCATACTCCTGCTCCTACTACTATTACTGCCATTACTCCTATTACCGCACTACACACTTGTGATAACCGAATAGTTTTCGGTGTGAGTATTTGCACGCAGTGTGCGGTGCGGTTTCGATGTATATTTAAACAAATGCGGTTAATGTTCATATTTCATTTTAATCAGACCCACGGTTATTGATATTGGCGCCGGTGTCCTCCGCGTGTCCTTCTGTCCGGCTGTCCACTGCCTTTGTCTGAGGGCCTGCCTGCTGCAATGCCTGTTAATGCGCATTTACGTACCGCATTATGTATTTATATATATTTGCACACATCATACATATTTGCTGCGGGGGGAAATGCAGAAACACACACGCACATTTGCTTTAGTTTGTCAAAAACAAACTTTCCCTAGTTTAACCACAAAACGGGCAACGAAACGCAACGCAACGCAACGTTGGAAAATGATTGTAAAATTTTACAACCGACAGCCAATTACCATAGCTTTTTATTTGATTTTGCACGGTTTAGCTTTTTGGTAACGAGTTGGATGTGGCTGCAGCCCTGCGGGTAATTCCGTCCTTTACCCTTAAAAAACACAAATCCAAAAAACACAGCCGACACATGCCGTTGGCAACAACAACATCAACTAATACAACCGGCAACGTGTTCAAATTTTTAAAGGCAAAAGATTGACGGATATTAAAATGGTTGAATAGCTAAAGGTTGGACTTACTGCTGGGCAGGAAAACCACAAATTCATTCTAGTCGATTGGAATGAAATTGTTGAAAGATAAAATTGCTGATCCAAAATGATTGCAATTTGGAAAAACTCTTTTAGAAAATAAATTGCAATCATTCTAAATACCATATGGGGTCTATATTCGTCAGTGGAAAATGAAGTCCTAAATGGTTTCTTCTCATTTTATGGTCTTATTTGATATATTCCAATGGTAAGTCTATATTGTAACTATTTATCTTGTTTTCTATCTTTCAATTTATCTTTTAATATATTTTGATACTATTTTATTATTAAAATAATATAAAAAGTACTGGTAAGAGTCCTTTTTAGGCCGTTGCTTAAGGTCCTCTTTAGAATTACCTTTTGAAATGATTTTTTTTAGGAAAAGCTATTCCTCTTATTGCCAACCACTTGGACTAAATCTAAATGAATATTGCGGACATCTGACTTTCATGGCATGGAACAATATCCGCAATTGCAGGCAAATTTCATTTCATTTCAATTGAACACAATTAAATTTTTGTGCACCACAATCAAGTTTCTCTTTGTAGGAGTTGTTGCTGTTTTGTGGTGGTTTGAGTGAATATTGCTTTGTTGTTGCTATTGATTTTCCAGCCACGCCCTTCACGTCCGCAATCTGGCGGATTGTCCGGGTGTCCGGTGGTTCGATGGCCCGGTAGTCTGGTAGTCGGAGAGTCCGGGTGTCCGGAGATGGAAAACGTGAGCGAACGGTTTCATTTATTTATGCATCGTTTGTCGGCGGCTTTATCCTTCTTATTATTAATTTCTTTTATTTTAATTTCGCTTTGCAATTATACACAAATACTCATACATAGAAATTATTGCTGTCCAACCGGCATAAAATCCATTAATCTCCTTTATCCTGCGGGCTATTTATAAATGTATTTCAGCAAATGAGAAGGCAAAAAGCAAATGTGATTGGACTCGATTGCATTAAGTTTTAAATACGCGAATTCATCTATTGGCTTGCTAATAGAATCATGAAATGTATTTCAGTTCGGTCAACCGAACAATTTTTGTTTATAATTGAAAAAGATGTTGTCGATTGGTGTGGTGTGGTGTGGTGTCAACGTCTGCTCGACCTCCGAACCCCAGGGCAGGCCACCCGTTCTCCATTCAGATTGATGTTGATGCAGCCAACGTTGCTTATATCCGGCTTGCGGCACGTTTCCGGTTGCCATTTGCCATTTGCCGCTGTTGCTAATTTCACAGTTTGGCATTTCGGATGCGAAAAAGGGAGCTGGCTGGCAAACAATTAACCCCCGGTTGCCCTTCGCCACCAAACCCCTCCCGGCTCATCCCTGCGCCCACTCATCCAAAAGGAAGAAGAAAGCTCTGCAATTCTGTGGTTAAGTATAATTTCTAATATTTTGTGTGACACCCGTGCGACACTTTGGCATTTTGTGTGGGATGTGGGATCTGGGACTGTGGGCTGTGGGGTGTTAGGGGGTGAAGCTGCGAAGTGGGAACTTCGGCTTTTTAGCCAGGGTGCCAGCCACATTGTTTATGTCTTACTCGAGAGTCTGGCCAACCCCGGCAATGCCGTCGACATTTAAACAAAACCTGGCGCCAAACAAAAACAAAACAGCAGGAGCAGAAGCAGCAGCAGAAGCATACCCAACGAGTGGGGCAAAAAGTTTTTAAGTGAAAATAGTCATTCAAATTTAATTAGTCCAAAACAAAGCCAAAACGTAATGAGCTTACGCTTAGGCAAGGGGTTGGAGGTCTGCTCCTGGGTTCTGGCTCTGACTCTGACTCTGGTTATGGTTCTGGTGCTGGTGCTGGTTTTGGCCACCTTTTGCATGGCTCCATCTCAATCTGAAATTGTGGTTATTGCACTCCAGCCCCACTCATTCCGGGAAAAGGGTGCCGGGACCGGTACCACCTTTAGCGACAACGGGGGTCATGTGCGACACAATTACGGCAAAGGTGGAGTCGGAGTCACCAGCGCTTTGCTGTCACATGCCACATGGCCGCAGAAACTCCTCCCTACCAACGGCTACGCCCTACTTACGCCCTCACTTACATACTCATCCACCCACATGCCCAGACCCCCACACACATACATAGTATAAGACCCCAAAAACGGCGAAACTGAGAGCAGGTCGACAACGGCAGCAGTTTCAAAATATTTTACGTAATATCATTGTTCGCACTCGTAACTAACTTTTGCCGGCACTCCATGCTGGCACAAAGGATACATCTCCGCCCGGACCTCCTTTGCCGGATTCATTCGCAATTCCCGATTCCAGATCCCCGATCCGTGCGTCCCTAACTTGTTCTGTATAGTCTATACTTGCCAAATGTTTAGCGTGTGACAAAACTTGTTAGCGAGGGTATTTTCAAAGGTTTTGGATTTAAGACTAAAGTAGTTTTACTTTATTTTTTCATAGTTTGATTGAAAAGTTTAAAAAGATATACCTTAAAACAAAGTATGAGAGGGGACTTAAAAAAAATGAAATAAAGAAACAACCATCATAATTAAAAAAGGTTGAAACCTCATAAGACCTTAATTATGAAATATTTAGTAAAATATGTTGTCTACCAGCACAGATGTGGGTTTCACGTATTTGGTGGATCACCCTCCGCGAATTCCTCTTCACATGCCTGCGTTCGACCGTGTCGCATTGCACGGAAGGGTGCTCTTTGGCGGATTGGGGCGCTGTGGGATGTCCTGTGAGGGCGGAGAGCGAGCAGGGTCCTGGTCTGGGCATGGTCTGCGTTTTTAGCGCTGCCGTTGCCGCTGCCACTGCCGCATATGATTCGTATCGCTGATACTATTTCTGCTCCAATGGTACTGTTAGTTTGCATCCTACGTGCCTGCTAATGTATGCTGGCTACCTTTCTACGTGTCCTTGTTTCCAGGACTCACTTTATATGTACTATAGTTTTGTATCCTGCCGTCAGGGAGTGTGGGTAAGTGTGAGTGCGAGCACATCCGTGTTAATATAAACGCATAACAGCATTTTTAGCTGTGAAATAGTTTTGCTGTTGCTCCCAAAAAACCCATCCTTTGCCAGGATCCCACCATTGTCCTGCTACGAGCCATCCTGTAGGTGTAATTGTGGCCGTTCCCGGTTGCCGGTTCCCATTGTCGACCATGCGGTGTAGTTGTTTTTGTTGCGGGTTGTGGGGGAAGCGGACATTTTAGATGGAAGCTGGTGGTGGTTTTCTCTAAATTAATACATCACATGCACGCAAAAAGGACGAGGACGAGAACGAGGATGAGAAGGACTAACAGGACATGCATACACGCTTAATTATGGGATTTAGCCTGGTTGTCTTCTTGGTGCGGTTTCGGTTTGGTTTCGCTTCAGCTTTGGCCCTGGCCATCTAGCTATCATATTTCGGGTCGCGTATAATTGGGATACATGCAGATATACTCGTAAATATTTTAATTTAGTTAGGTAACCCCGCTGCAGAGAATAAGGACGGTTGTCAGCTTTCATTACCGCCTCGATGGCTTTTGAAAACATTTCACGTGGCAATTTTTAATGGCATTTGTTGGCCTTTGGCTCCGGTGATGCCCACTGATGGAAATTGAATCGGAACAAAACACAGAGCACTGAGATCACAGGGCATAGGGGGCTTAGCCCGGTATATGTAACACATATGGATACCCCGATCCCGGAACGTGTCCCAAACTTCGTTAACGGATTCTCGGAGCTGTCATTACCATTAACATTTTGGCTTGGGCAAACATTTTAGCGTCGCACTCTCGAACTCATTTGCACTTTTGTTTGCATTGGATTCGGACATCGGACACTGTCAGCGTTGCTAGTGCTGGCGGGCGGCTGGTGGTGGTGCTGGCGGCCAAAAACCATTGACATGTCCACATTTCGGTATTTTCATGTCGCTTCAGTTATTTGATTAGTTAACAACTGATGGACAACTCATGGAGCCGGGCAGAAAGGGTTTTATTTCGACGTTATTTGGACACCGACCCGCCAATGGTGTTCACTTTTCACGCGTCAACGGTCGAGGTAAATGGGGAAAGTTTAATACGTTAATTGATTGACATTATTTGGATACTTTTACCAATGCCAATACGGCGATAATGCATCAAAGTATCAAATAAAAGCACCCCGCCAGATGTTATTTATAGCTAACACCTATTTTAGCCCAGTCTGATTTCGGGCAAGTGTTTTGTTCACTTTGCTTCCATAGAAATCTTTTCTCCCTCCTTCAAACTGACAAAATCGTATTGATTTTTTTTTGAGCACTATGTGCCAGCAGAAGAGCACCTTAAAGCGTCTGAATTTTTGCACGAAATTTCGAGCCTGTATTTTGTGGGCCTTGTGGAACATAATCAGCGGATGTCTTTTCATTCGTAAGTATTCTTAAAGACCTAATGGAATATTAACAAAATTAAAAACCTTACAGCTTTGCACATTAGATTCGTAAAACATCTGGAGTTGCAAGTTACTATTCTGGTTTTAGGCTTCATTTGCGGAGTATCTTTTATTTTATCTGGCATTATACTTCTAATTGGACTTGTTAAAGTAATTAATGTAATTGTCTTTCTTAGCATTAATTTAAAGGTTTATTTTTGTATTTATTTTTTTAGAAAATACGATGGATGGTGTGTTTTTCTATTGTTTTCTCCACTATTGGGACTTTGTTTATCCATTGGCTTATTATTCCTTTTGGTAAGAAAACTATTTTCCAACAAAAACCGAGAACTAAATATTTCTAATTCCTAACTTTAGTGCTTTATTTTATTTTCACGTTTGTGGTTTTTAATTATTATCAAGTGGACATGGCAAAAGATGATCGTTATAAAATTCCAAGAAAATAAAAAGGATAACTTATAAATTCCACACATTTTTATTTCAGAAATTTCTGAAAAAGCAGGAAAAGCTCTGAACTTATATTTATGGTAGGAAGTAGATCAGTTGGTATTAGTCTGGGCTTTTGGCCTGAATTGCAAAAATATTCATTCCATGGACTCGTGCCTTATCCCTTAAGTATCTGGGTATTGCCGCCTGTGCAATCTACTCCAAATAACTGCAATAGTTTTATGGCTCATCATTGTGCCGGGCTTTTTTGGGGGAAATCCCTCGGCTATCGGCTACGGCGAGTTCAGTGCTCCAGTTTTTTTGTAGCCGATGGTCGATGGTGAGCTGGAAATCAGGAAAGAAGGCAACAAAACCAAAAAAAAAAAAGATTGAACCTTTCAGCTTGTTTGTTGTTTTATGCCGACTGCTCAATTTGCTGTTACACTGGCACAGACACAGACCCTGTTCATCACTTACACGCCAGGGTAATTTAAAACAAATGCCCCACCAAATCGCATTTGGCTTCGGCTCTACAAGTTTTTATTGCCACTCGCATATGAAGCGGCAAATTTGTTCATCCACTACAATTTGGCATGCCATTTATATTGGTTCCATGTTAATGCCGGCGCCAAATCCCCGACCTGAACACCAAAACGCCAGTCAGTCAGTCGGTGTTAAGCCCGATTCCATCCATGTTCTACTATATGTTTCCTGCAGTTGATCCAATTGCCACCGACCCAGCAAATTGTTGATATCTTTGTTGCTGTTGCTGCAAACCGTTGTTGCACTGTCAGTTGTTGATGCAGCTGTTGTATTTTTTAATAGACACATTAAAAAATAATTTAACGGGAAGAGCGGGGGAGCCGTTTACTTCGTTTTGGCCAACGAATTGAATAAGTCATAAATCATTCAACTTTCGGCCGGTGTCGTAAAATAAAAATGCCCAGAAAACATGTGACATGCATCGGTGTCGGTGGGTTGGTTGGCATTTCTATTAAACGATACACGATGAGCACCAGACTGGCAATTTGTCCAATTTTTCCCATTTTTCAGTTGTTGTCAGGACCGTGGGTAGCCCAGCCCCCTGCTGTCCTTCCTGCACTATCGTTTGTTTATTTTTTTTCACATCATAATTTTTTATGCTAGTTGACTTCTGGACACTGCCTCGTCCTCGTCCTGGTTTCGAGCTCTATATTTGTTTTTTTATCGAGGTCCTTTTTTTTTTTGCCAGCGCCGAAAAGTTGTTGCCATGTACAAATTAATAAACGAGTAACTGACAAAAAGGTAATTTATTATTTTATACATATTTGACAAATTAATTTAATGACACTCTGCCGTCTCACACTCGCACATTAACGCACATGTCCCACCGGAATGAGGTCCCTCTGCCCCAGCCCCGCCCCTTGTTGGCTGTTTGAGCTCCAGTTCTCGCTCCTCGCCTCTCGCCGCTGCCTCACACATAATAATTTCTCATTTAATTTTTCAATTTTAAGCGTCATTTACACATGCCATGCCACGGCAACGGAGTCTGTCCAGATCCCGCGAATCCGCGATTCCCCTCCGGGCCACGATGCTGTCGCTTTGGTTTTGTTGCCAGCTTTTGTTGTTGCCAGCTTGTTGTCGGACGCTTTGTTGTTGGCTTTGTTGTTTTTGCCATCACGTTTGATTATACCCTTTTGGACTCGGGCCGTGACCGACTCAAGACACTCAGTCAGTAAGTTGCACTTGCCAATTAAGTCGAACGAATCAAGTTTCAAAATAGTTCCATTTTATTGGGCAAAACCATAATTTTCACACTTTTTTATGTAAAAAAAAATAATTAAACTTTAGCTCACTCAATCAAATTATAAAAATAATGATTCTTAAACGTTTAACATATGTAGCTTAGAAGTTTAGATCTGCATTTGTAAAAAAAGCAAGGCTTGCAACTTACATATCTCTTCTTACAATATTTTACAAAGTTTGAGAAAGAATTTATTAATTTTAAAGAGAATATTAAATTCGTTTTCCATTGATCGGCTTTTGTTTATCTTTCATTTTTTATATTTGCATTAAAAGGTAATCATCGGGAGCAACGTTGCAACGCGGCTGACAAGCCTTGAAATTTTCGCACCGTTGTCGTATTTTGTATGACTGTCATTAAGTCGTCAGCGGGTTCAGTAACGAGAAGGACAATACTGAGATTGGCAAGAGAAGTTGGGGCGGGGCCGGAGGAAGAGGAGGAAGTGGCGCTGGATAGTGGCAGGACGCAATCATTTGCTCGCTCACTCGGCGACGCATCAGTTTAAATGACTCGTCATGCCCGGTGGCGGAGTGGCGTCAGCGGACGGAGAGTGGCGTGGAATGATGGTCAGTGGAGAAGGGAGCGGAGGCATGGGATGGCATGGACATAGCCCGAAGGATGCAGGAGGCAGGAAGATACTGGGCCGCGTTGCACTTGAACGTGTTGCCAGTGCTACAGTCTGAAAAGCTCGCACGTTAATGACACTAGAATCAGTTTTCATTAACGATATAACGTGCCACTGGCCACTCGGAAGTGGTGAGCTGGAGAGGAGCAAGAGAAGCCCAGATGGTAAGGGGTGTGTGATGATGGGGGCAAAGGAGGGGAAACTAAAGGAACCGCATGCGTGCATTGCTCGCATATTTCTCTTCATCGCGGCTGCTGCGGCGGCTGCGGCATTGGCGCTGGCAATTAATAAAACACACACCTTCTGTGCGGCCTTCTGGCCCCGTGGTAGTCATTCCCCCACATCCTTACTCCCAGCCCCCTTTTGGCCGGCGATGAATGCACAGTGGTCTAAAGCGCTTATTTATGCAACGGCTGGCCTCGACATCACTTCGCCATCGCATCGATAGCGACATTGCCATCGGCATCTGAATCTCGCTATGCATCTGAAACTGAATCCGCATCTGGCTCTGGCTGTGGCTCTGGCTCTGAATGAGCCGTAGTTCTGGCTTCCTCCTCCTGGAAATTGAATTTAAAAAGCTCAAACGCTGCAAAATATTTCACACGCACATGGAGCCAAATGCCGAGAACGCTTGTTGCTGAGATTTTTCATATAAATCACATTTGGCCGGCGAAAAAATATAAATAATATATGTATGTATGTACGGCTAGCACGTTGAAAAGAATGGGGCATGAGGCATGGGGCATGAAGAGTGTGTATGTGTGTCCCCAGCATAAATCTTTCAGTTTGGATTTTCACTTTGGCGGCATACATAAATTGACACTGGCTGACGACATGGCAGCCACATTTGAAAACCGCGCTTAAAAGCATGCCCGCTCGATTGCCGTCAAACTCCCCTCCAAACTCCCATCCATTTTAATGCATTACCCTCTTACCATTTAATCGCAGTGTTGTCCAAAACTCTTGCATTGCAAATTACGTTTTTTGTCAGCTTAAATAAAGCAACGCACGCTGCCAGTAAAAACTCATTTGCGCGAAATTAAATTAAAAGTTAATTAACGCTGTCAATGTGCAAAGCTCTCCAGACAGCAGACTTTGCCGGGTAAATGTGACTACCTGCAGCCCGGAACCTGCCACTGGGCAACTGGGCAGACGGGCTGCCGGGCAACCTGCAACAAACTGCAACAACCTGCTGCAACTCGGTGGGCCAAGTTGAAAAACCTCCGCAAGTTAAGTTAAGCATATGTCAGCTTAAATTGATGCGAACTGGTTTTAAACGCCAGCCTGACAATTCGCGCATTTTTCGCTTTCCCAGTCGCTGAAGTTGTTTGCCCGGACTCTGGAATTGGTTTGTCGGTTGCCCGTTGGGCTGTTGGGCGTTTCGGTGGTTCAGTGGATCGGTTACTCGGTGGTTGGGAGCCTGATGCTTCACCAAAGGGGACCAGGTGGGGAAGTGGCAGTTCGCTTGATTGCTTGGCTGGCCGGCAGTTATGCACAGAGCACACAGTGCGTATGCTTAATGTGACATGACCGAGCTGTCGCCCGTCCGGCTGGCAAAATCAACAACAAGATGCCGCCTGCTGATAATTAATTTTTGAGTAAAACTGAAAATTACACCGTCCAATCGGAGATCAACCGAAAAAGAAACTATTCGAATAAATCATATTTAATTGGTTGCCTGTTAAATGCCTTATTTGTCGTATTCAGTTCACTATTTGAGCCATTTGCTAGCTAAGAGACCACTGACCGTTGTGCATTTAATTGGCGGTGAATGGCCAAATGCTTCACGATTTGAGTTGCTCGCTTGATTAAATTTCCAAACCATCATTTGTGTTCGCTCTTCCATGAGTATTGCTGCCCAAAAGCACATTGGCCGAATCATTAACAAGACAAATCCAATTGCCAGTGACTAGAATGATGACGAAATGGGGCATTGACTTTTGATTACTATGGTAATATAATAAAGCAACTATTTTAGACACTTTTATAGAACATATTTTTTTTTAAATTAAAAAGGCGCCAGCCATATGTGGAATATATATGAATGAATAAAATAATCTTATGTATCACAGACTTAATTCTTAATCGTTTAATATGGAAAATCGATATATGTACAAATCCTTAAGAGAGACCCTCCAGAAAATATTACATAAAATTTAAAAAATATTTTGTTGGCAGAAATCGATCTACAAATCGTTTAAGGTATTCCGTTTAAGAATCGGATAGGTTTTGGTAAAGATATGGCCTTCGGAGTGTGCCATATTGCCGTTTCTTGCAATTCACCCATTTTTGAAGGGGACCCTACAGAAAACAGGACGAAAAATTGAAAAAATATTTCGTAGGCAGATTTTGATGCAGATTGATGGAGAATCGATCTACAAATCGTTTGAGGTATTCCGTTTAAGAATCGGATAGGTTTTGGTAAAGATATGGCCTTCGGAGTGTGCCATATTGCCGTTTCTTGCAATTCACCCATTTTTGAAGGGGACCCTACAGAAAATAGGACGAAAAATTGAAAAAATATTTCGTAGGCAGATTTTGATGCAGATTGATGGAGAATCGATCTACAAATCGTTTGAGGTATTCCGTTTAAGAATCGGATAGGTTTTGGTAAAGATATGGCCTTCGGAGTGTGCCATATTGCCGTTTCTTGCAATTCACCCATTTTTGAAGGGGACCCTACAGAAAATAGGACGAAAAATTGAAATTTTACACTCATTTTACCAATATTTAAAAATTGGAGAATTTCTATATGTACGAACCGTTTTTGTATTAGCAGGGATATAACCTTAAGTCTTTGAAAAAATGAAAATTGTAAATGATTAAAAATTATAAATATTTAAATGTGTTGGCAGTATCATAGAAGCTTTCCTAGTTTATATATATTTTCCGAGTCCTTGGCAATTACTGTCCTTTCAATTACACCATTGCGATCTTTATTCCTTTGCAGAACGTAAAAAACTCATTCCGTTCAGTTCGTCCTGGGACCGAAGTCTGAAGTGGCTCGGCTGTCGTCCTGTCTTGTCAGTTTCCATTGGGGTCGAGCGGTGGGGCAATATAAATAAATATGCTTGTTGTCTGGCAATTGGAACTGCACTCCCACGGCCAATTTCGTTGTGAAAAATTAAAGATAACATAAATGCGGCTCGCCCCGGCACGCCATACCATACAAAACCATGCCATACCGCCATATTTTGGTTCGAAACTAGGCCCGAAAAGCGGAAAAGTGCCGGAATGCGGCGGAATGCCGTGCCAGGACATCAATGTCGGGACACTGGCGTGCTATTTGAATTGAACAAGTGTCAGCGTCGAGGGGAAACAGCGTCGAAGCTGTCGCCTCCCCTTTCACCCTGTTCCATTTGCCTGACCCAAGCCGAACCGAACTGAACTGAACTGATCCTTTCTGGAGCCTCGTTTTCAGGCACTGTTGTACAGCATTTGCATGTCCTGCCACTCCGCTCTCAAAACTCAAAATATTAACACTTTAACGCCAAGTTTTTTATCCGGCTGCCGGAAACAGACAACACAGTGCACACAAACACAAATACTAGCGCACCAGTACAACGGCAGTGGCGGCAGCAACAAAACGCCATGTTGGATTATTCAACTCGACGCCATTTCGCGTCACAATGCGCGCTATGCGCCGCCATCATTGCACCCGACAGCAAACGGCACACGGCAGCAGAAACAACACTGGAAGCAGTAGCGGCACCGGGACCAAGAACAATTCCAACTGCAACAGCAACAACAGCCACAAGCCATGGCGGCCCACACGGCGGATGAAGTTGCAATTCAAAGTCATAAACACGTGGAGCGTGGGCGCAAAGTCTCAGCTAAGCCGCGAAGCAGGCGCTGCCACTGACAGCGGCCAAAAAGGGGGACAGGGAGAGAAGGGGCTGGGGTGGAGCTGGGCAGCGGTAGCGCCACTTCCTGCCCAGAGATTCCTAGCCTGCCGGTCTGCCTTTATTTCCAGACCATTTTGTTGCCGCTTCTGCTGCTTTTCTTGTTGTCTGTGCAACAAGGCAGACAGAGGGTATCGGCGGCATATAAAATCCACACCATTTGATCTCGGAACTATCGGAAAATACACTATAAGAATTTGGTTTTAAAAATAAATTATATAAATAACGTCAGTAGAATATAAGGGTGATATAATAAAGTAAATAGGAATGGTAAAATATTTACTGCAAAATTTGTAATTTCTTAAAGATTTAATGTGGAATTTTCGAAATTATTTTCAAGTTTTCCATCTAGTCCTTATACTGGGTTGTCTTCGGTCGGTACTTTCTTTCGCAACAACGAATCGGAGCTCTTATTTTTTGGTTGGCACTGTTCGTTTTTCATTTGCATGCGAAATTCAAACATCAGCATAAAAATGCAATTTTTATTGCACAACATTTCTCAATGCCCGTTGCAAATATTTTCGCGGGCTTTATTATATTTTTTGGCTCTCCTTTGTATTGTTTTGTTTTGGCCCTGTTCAGTTTTCAGTTCTCGGCTACTGGTGTTTGTTTTGGTTCTGCTTGTTGCTGCAACTGCCTCTGGCTGCTGCTCATATTTATTTGTGTATTTTTTTATTTTTATTTTTACGAATTTTTTTCCAGTTTGTGTCCTGCGGCCAAGCGATGCGATGCAATGCCACCCACCCGCTGCTTTATTATGAGCTGCACTTTATGAAAATGCAGACGCTGGAGTTGCCGCTGCCACGGCCGCGTTTCGAGTACATTGCAAATATTTTATTATTGCACAATTTCGCCAACTTATCCCACTCGCATATGAAGGTGGGATAAGTTGGTAGCTGGGGGCAGGACTCGAGCCAGGAGGTAGGGGCAGTGGAATCTCCTGTTGGCCGCAAGGCTTCAGGAAGGATGCAAGGCAGCTAAAATAATATTTTGTTGCTGCTACTGTTGTTCTGTTTGTTTGTTTTTGTTTGTCGGTTCGTTTAGTTGAAATTACGTTTTGTATGCCACTGAATTTCATAGCAGCAACAAAAGCACGAGCAACAACAACTACCAGGCTACAACTACCAGCAACTTGAGCCGAAAAAACTTGCTTTCGGTTGTTATTATTCTTGCGTTTATTCCCGGCAAATTTGCCGTGTGCCGCCCACAACCCATCGCTTTTGCTCCCTATTGTTTTTGTTGTTTTTGTTGTTGTTATGGATACCGTCTTTCCCTTTTCCCACTTAACCGAAACTCCTTGCTGGCTGGATACCGTTACGCCACCCGATTTCCACCCAGTAGCCACCCACTGCCACATCCACCGTGTTTTTTGGTTTTTTTCCTCCTTTTTTTCGTACTGTTTTTCCAACATTTTAACTTCCGCTCAATTTACCTTTAGGCCAAGTAATTTAAAAGCTGACGTGTTTGTACAACTACAATTTCGACTCATGTTGCCCATGTTGTTGCTTTTGCTGTTGGCATTGCCTGTGTATAGTACTTCCTGGTGTGGATTTTAGCTAGGTTCGGCTCTTGTTTCTGTTTCTCGTTCTGGTTCTGGTTCTGGTTGTTTTTCTTGGTTCTTGGTTTTCTTGACTCTTGGATTTCAATCTCCCCCTTGGTGCGAGTTGTTTTCTTTCCGCTGGTCAAAATATTAAAAAAAAAAAAGTGAAGGAAGAAAATTTGGCAACGATGAAATTTGCTACCGCTTTGCCACATATTTTGTTTATTTGCCCTCCGTTTGACTTGTGCTTGAGTCAAGTTTTTGATGATGATGATGTGGCCGATGGATCTGGACTAAAAGTCAAAACATCCGCAAAAGCTGTTAAAACTGTTTGCCTTGGCTAATAGTCAGAGGGCGGTGAAAGCCGCCTGAATGTAAATATTAATTAAAGTCGATAGTAAATGGCCGAAAAGTGTTTCGCCCACTTTCCTGTTTTTCTTTCCTAGATTCCGCCTAGTGTTTTTTTTATTATCCCCACCCCAGCCGGTTTTTTTTTCGGCCGTTTAACATGTGAGCACGCAATATCCTTGATTGGCAACGCAGCCAAAAGTTGAAGTTGAAGTTGAATGATTGAAAGCGCGCAGCTAAGCTGTCGGCGGCGCAGTCCCAGGATCTGCATAACGTATCAAAAAACGTTGCATACTTTTTCGGGCCGTGCACCATAGCTGACGAATGCCGATGGAACGGTGGGTGTGCACTCAAAAAAAAATCTATCTATCTCTTAGATAGCAGATAGACAAACCTATTTATTTTAAGTTCTTTACATATACGATTTTATATTGTCTTTAGACTTAAACAGTTCTGCTATGAAATGAACAGCTTTTGAGGACTCTTTCCTTAGTGTAAGCGAAGAGCACTGTACATGAGCAGTTAACGCCATTGTTTGTGTTTAAGCCGGCGAGTCTGGCAGTCAGGTCGGCCCCTCGTCCACAGTATCCCCTTTCCCCTCAAAATCCGACTGCTAGGAAAGCCAACGAGTCTGTTAGCCAAGCCGCAGGCTGGTGCAAAAGCTGAGGCTGAAGACAGAGCTGAAGCTGGAAATGGAGCTGAAGCCATGGACCGCAGACGAGCTGCTTGTTCTGGTGGTGGTGCTGCTGGTGCATTTAGTGAAGTATTGTTTCTGCTAGATTAATCCTGTTTTAATTAAATATACACGCTGCCAGCATAAAACCAACAGGAGCACCATCGTCGGCAAGCAAAAAATGGCAACGGGGCTCGCAAAAACTCTGCACATCCAGTTGCATATCCTGGAGTCCGCACTCGGTAGTCCGCAGTCCACGGTCCACAGTCCGTATACCGTATCCCGCATCCTGCAGCCCGCTTCGACTTCTGACGTCATGCAAATGTGTGAGCTGCGAGCACGGAGGATGCAGGATGCTGTTGATGCTGCCGCCCCACTCGGAATGACAAAGTGACTTGACTGACTGGGCGAAATGTTTGAGAGCAGGACGAGAGTGCTGCTGCTGCTTCTGAATTCGACCTCGGGTTTATTTATTTATATTTTCATTTTTCCCCTTCTTGTTTTTCTTCTGCTTTCAAGAAAAATACTTTTTCTCACGCAGCTTGCAGTTGGTAGTTGCGCGCTCGGTGTTCGCTTGTAATTTCTGTAGTAAATTAAAAATGCTGCGGTACTATTTTTTTTTTGTTTTTTTCGTACTTTTCTTATTTTTATAGAGTGCTCTACACAGAAACAGCTCGGCTCAGTTCATCTCATCTCGGGCGGGCTTTGTCATGCATGTTCTGCATTCAGGCAAATCCTAAGATCCCGCTCGAGAGCGCCGCAAGTTTTTAAGTTAATGAGCTGAAAGTTCCTTTTGCACCCAGCGACGTCTTCTGGTTGCCACGAGTGCCAGAATGCGGGACTGCCAGTGCCAGTGGCACTGGTAAAGTGCCGGCATGGCAGAGTTGGCGCTGCCACAGCAGGTGAGTGAGGCTGGTTTTTAAAGGGAATTATTTTTTGCACTACCATACACATCTGGTAATGGAAGTGGGTCTAGAAGCCAGAGCCGCAATTAAAAGGCTAACACTAAAAAAAATATTTGTAAGCTAATGACCTTAAAAACTTGTTTACTTTTTTTTTTGTATTTATTTTCTAACAAATGCTTCGAGTCTTAGACTTTAGACAAAAAAGCTTATAAAATTCATAGTTTCAAAGACTTTTAAATATTCTTCTATGTATCCAGGCTAAATGTGTGCCGGCTTAACTTTTAGGCCAAGAGTGGTGGCTCGAAATATTTCATCATGGAAAATCCGCAGGCACTTGAACTATGCCGAAACCGCATTCCCGGCGAACTGTCAGTGGGATCAGTGGGTTCCTTCTGCTGCAGCAACACAACATAGACATTTGGCGGGGAACAGCCGGCAGCTAATCAGCGCTCGTCGAGCCACTTGAGCCGTGACTGCAAAGGCCAACCTTTAAGCCCGGCCAAGACTCGAGACATTATTGAGTTTGTCGTGCTGCCAAAGTGCGGGTGCGCGGGTGCGGGTGTATAGGGTGCTTCATAAACGGCTGCCGTCAAACAATCTTAACGTTTGTTGTTTGTTTTCCCAAGCCAAGCTGCTGTTGCTGCCGTTGCAGCTCCCACTGTGCTGGCATGCAATTTCGCTCCATTAAATACGACGCGTACTTAACTGTATAAGTAAACTTCATTGCCGGAGTGCGCTACTGCGTGTACAACTGCTGCATAAGTGTGTGTAAACACATCCACGCACTCTCAGCGGTTGGTGGGCTGGTGCTGTAGTTGCGAGGGCGTGGCCCCATACAAGTGTCCATTAAATTTTGTCATTAATTTTCGTTTGTCCCCCGACGCTCGCAAGCTACTTTTCCCCTTTGGCCTGTTCTTTGCCATTTGCTTCCTTACTTTTTCATCATCTTATTTATTTACTGTGGCATATATAAATTAAGCAATAAATGAAATGAGGCGCACCCGACCTCACTCTCCCTTCTCCAGACTACACTTCTGACTCCTTTCAGTTGCAAATTTGTCGGTGAGCCTTTTGAATTGCAGTGGGAATTGCAACTTTTGCCATCCATAATGGCCAACTGTATATGACACTCAGTAAAATACAGAAAAAATATACACATTTATTCCATTCGAGCAGTCATACCTACATATATGGCAAAAAAAGAAACAAATGCACATCTGATGTTGTATTTCTTATTGGTTTCAAATCCGTTTGTTGGCTTAGTTTGGTTTCTGTGGGCTTGATGATTTTCCCAAAAATAAATACCTACACATATACCTATGTATGTACGTACGGCACACAGCTTTTATTTATAAATCTCGTTTATTAGTTCAATTTGCTGTTGGGATAATCGATGCACTCGCCTTCAATAAAAATCAAAAACATAAATCTTCCGTTGCAAAAATATTTAGATATTGCCCATATATATGTATTTATGTGTATATAAGCAAAAAT